TATGTTGAACGCTAGTAATGGACATGTGCGCGACCATGTCGATAGGTGAGATCGAAATTATAAATCCCTCACGAATATTAAGTCTGTTGCCTTCTGACGCCCGGCACCTATCCGGCTAATGTGCACTGTCATGTACTCAGCCTCAGCAGAGCATAGTACGGTGTATGTTAAGCTGGTTACGGGAACCGCCATAGCGTGGTCGCTGTCGCACGTTGGGTTAGACTTAACTGAGTCTCGGTCAAATGGATGGATGACTCGGAGGCAATAAGTTGGGGTCATCAATGACAAGTCGGATGATTTTACTCACTCATCCAGCCAGGAGTTGGATCTTTATGATTTAATTGGAACTCTCTTCCTAACCAAAGTAGTCTGCTTGTAAGACGTGCCTCAGCCAATTACAAGTATGGTGAAAAGGTGTCCTGGGCCGGTTGAAGTAATATTGTTCGCCCAACACCAGACCAAGAGCTGAGAGCCCTGCTCATTAGTTGACTATGTTCCTACCTAAATAGTTGTCTTGTGGAGTAACGCCCAAGCGGAACACAAGATAATGAAATATGGATCTTGGCCCACTAGAGGTTTCGCCGGAAATCTCCGAATCAATATCGAGGGTTATTGATTTGTTAAAAATAGTGGGAGATAATTAATTAAAGGCCAAATTAATTATTAAACATGATAGATAACCTAGTTTGCAAAATTTTCTGTAGATGGCAAACAACAACAACCCTTTCAACCTGCGTTACATCCTGGAAAACAACAAGTTATCCGGGACCAACTTTCTTGACTAGGAGATGAACCTCCGGATCGTTCTTGACTGTGAGAGGAAACTCTACATCCTCGAAACGGATCCTCCCAAGACCCCTGATACTGATGCTTGTGTGTTCGAACTCACTTCCTACAAGAAGTATGAGGACGACGCGCGAGATGTAAAGTGTATCATTATGGCCAGTATGACCGCGGAGCTCCAAAGGCTCCATGCAGACATGGAAGTGCGTCCTATGATAAAATGCTTAAGAGACCTTTACCAGGTCAGCCCCAAAACTCAGGAATTTACGTTATCGACACTACAAGAAATGGCCTGAATTGCAACGGCCAAATCCGTTGCAATATTCATCGTATTCCGTTACTGATGGCCAATTGCAATGGAAATTTTGTTGCAAATTTGCCGTTGCAAAAACCATTGTTGCAGATTCCTTTGCATCGGAAAATTGCAACAAAAATGTCGTTGCAAGTATTTGCTACGGGAATTTGCAATGGAAATGACATTGCTAACTTCTGCTACGGAATTCTTGTTGCAACGTAATGCAACATAATTTTGCAACTTCTTTTTCGTTGCTTAATATTGCAACGAAAAATTGCAACTGAAATGTCATTGCTAAAGGTTGCAATAAAATTTCTGTTGCAAGGTGATGCAACCAAAATTTGCAACTCCTTTTCCGTTGCAGAATATTGCAACGGAAAAAGGCAACAAAAATTCTATTGCAATATTTGCTACAAAAAATCTTCATGTGCAACTGCAACAGACTATTTCGTTGCATAACTTGAAAACAACCAACACAAATCGGACTACATTCATCCTCAGTATTATGCAAGATTGACAATCAAATGTAACGAGTATACTCAAATTAAACATAATAAAACACATATGTATTCCACAAGATAAATAAGAGTTTCAATTCAATATTTTTCATATTCTAAAATAAGACTTAATGCACTCGTCACATTAAAAAATGTCTATTGTTTCCATTTTAAAAATTAAACCATTACACTAACATTGAGGTGCACTTCTGCCACCGTCTCCTCCGTCCTCTCTACGGGGCAAACGATCTCCAAACAATCTATGCATCTCTTCTATGATCGTTTGGGCAATAGGTTCACGGAGCATCTCGATAATATCTCCCTTGAGAGATTCTACGATAGACGGTTGAGAGGTAGCATATGATTCAACAGCAGAACTCCTACTCATACGACGCACTTGGAAGACGGTTGAGAGGCAGCATATGATTCAGCAGCAGAACTTCCGTCTATAAATAAAGTTCTCGTTGCGCGCTACGATGTTCTTCTGGTCTCATTTCTTCACCAAACCTGACAGAATAAAGCACAACACAAATGACCAATTAGGTTGTTTCTGCAATCTAACAACAAATATACCCATCATGTGGTAAAAACTACTTTACTTTTTAATTCCTTGACGAGGAACCATAAGCCACTCCACTGCAAAAAAAATTATTACTATAAGTGTTTGCTTCATTAGCTATCCAAAATTCACTCAGATTTTGAATTACAGGCTCATAGAAATAGCAATACTCATAAAAATTATGCTCCAAAAATTATGGTTTTTGGAAAAGTAATAATAATAATAAAACAAAGACTTTGAACTGAGTCGATTTATGTAACTTACAGCCTTCAGAGACCACCTGGCATGTACAAATACACCCTCAGTGGATATGAACCGTGAGAGAAGCCTCAAAATGCATAGTTCAAAAAGTACTGTTTTCCCACTTCCGGTAGGTGCAGAAATAAAATCAATAGAAATCTCATAACAACGAACACCAATAGGTTCATATTAACATTCTAAGCATTATCAAGCATATTACTTCATCAACCAATGCCTAGGTCATGCATACTACCTTTTTGATCTAACGACAACAATTTCCGAAACCATAATCAACAATTATACAGATAAATCACAAAGATCAATCACGATAACAATTATGAACGGCATTTCAAACCTAGATGCATATTCTAGTGTTAGATGTCCAGGTACTCACCTCGTTGGTTCGATAGCGATGACATCGAGACAAAAGTCATACCCCGCTGCCCGGACTTTCCGCTGCTGTCCGAATGTCAACTACCCCTGCCCGGAGGTCAGTCAACGCTGCTAGGACCAACAGAGTTGACCCAGATGTCGCCGGTCGCCAGAGCTCGTTTGCCGGAGAAGGATTCGCTGGAGCTCGCCGGCTGTTCTCACGCCATCCGCCGGAGCTTCTACCCGATTGCTCTGTCACCAAAGGAGAATCGTCGCTCGCCGCTGGGTCAACTTGCCGCTGTGCCTAAGTCGCTGTCGAAGGTTGCCGGAGGACTGGGAGGTCTTCTTCCTCGCTTCACTTCGCCGGACCGAAAATTGCTGATCTTTGTCGCGATCGCTGACCTCCGCCATTCAGAAGCGCGATTCAAATGGGAAGGAAGAGACGGGGATGGTGATTGGCGGCGTTGGCTCAATCGAAGAAGGAGGAGGCGGTTTCCGTCTCTGAATCGAGATCTAGCGAGAAACGGAGTACGGATTCTTAGGGTTTTGTGCTCAGTCATTTAAAATAAAGTATCTAATGCACCCTCAAAACCTTCTAAAAATTCTTCAAGAAGGCCCGGACTCTACAACCGCTGTGCATGGCACATCCACTACACCGCAGCACCATTCTCCTTCTCCTCTTGGCAAGGAGGACGCACATACCACTGGTTCAGTTACTCAGGAGGATGTAGAGGACAGCGATGGCGTGTCACGGGTTTCTACAGATGATGAGAGAGATTATGGCGAGCATGGGTATCCTTTGGATGAGAACGGTCGTATTATTCCCGTGGCCAAGGGTGACACTGATTATTTTACCGTGAAGGAAATGCGACGCCGTGCATGGGAAACTCTTCTTCGGGGGGAAGAATACACGCCGGCTGCTTATGCTCGTCATCCCCGTTTGAAGCATGCCATGAAGTGGGCTGAGGAAACATTGAGAAAATATGAGGAACTTCATGGACCTGTCAATTTAGATAATGGGCCTGTTAATTTGCCCATGCCGTCCCGCCGGGAGTTGGGCCGCTTAACGTGACCACTCCTTCTCTTAGCCTTTGGGCCTACACTTTTCCTAACCTTCGGGCCACATATCCTCTCCATTATGGACTTCTTTCTTTTAGCCTCCGGGTCTCATCTTTTATCCTTATTAGATTTCTTTCGTTTAGCATAATTGCCTTCTTTACTTAGTGCGTGAGTGGGAGTTATGTTCCCTCCCCCATGTCTTTTACTTCATTTACTTTGCTTATTGGGTGAGTTGGAGATTTGTTCCCTCCATCCCTATCTTTATTTATGCGAATAAAACTAGATTAATTTTTAAAAAAAAAATTAATGTAGAAGCATGAATTCTAAAAAAAAAAAGTATCTAGGTAAAACATACTTTTTGGACCAACTTGCCCCGAATTGAGATTTGTTCGCGTCGTTGGGCTCGATTTGTCGATTGCTACTCAACGATATAACTTTTATATTTAGTTGACAAACATTTATACGTTCCACTTGATCCGTCTTAACTCTTTCGATTAATTAATACCGATCAATCCTTTAACTTAAATCTTTACAAATATAATCAAATTAGTCTCGTTACATTTAGACAATTAGAATCTCTAGAATATCTTTTAATTCTTTAAAGGAATAGATTGTCGTAAATAAATAATTCTTATTTATTTAATTATTGATCAACTTTTATGCCCGTTTCTAGGGCGTAACAAGAGTTGTGGTTGGTTTGCAAAGAGCCGATTAAAGGTCGAGGGTTTATTTGATGGGTTGTGTTCCGTTTTTAGGTGATGGTCAGTTTCTTTATTAAGGTTTTTTAATAGTGTTGCTTATTTTATTATTTGAAAGGATTACTTTAAGACCTGTTTGTTGAGTTTTGGAGATATGATAAGATATAGATTATGAAATCAGGAAGAAATGATATGAATTTTGAAATCTGATTTGAAATTGTTTGGAGAGATTTAAAATCATGATTTTATTTGTGATAAACGAGGGTGACCGGCAATGGGGGTGGTTGGCGGTAACATTAAATTATATAACTCATTTTTTAGTTTCATTTACTTTTTAAAAGCTTTTTCGAAAAATTGCTTTTAGTTTCATATTTTTAGTTTCAATAACTTATTTTTTTTAAAAAAAAACTTTAAAAACTATAGCGAGAACTTTGCAACGGACACTCTGTTGCAACTACCTGTTGCGAACATATTACAACGGTAATCCATTGCAAAATTCTGTTGCAAATAAAATGCACCGGAAACATCGTTGCAGAAATCTGTTGCAAAAACATTGCAACGGAAACTCTATTCTAAAAATATGTTGTAATTAATCTGCAACGGAAAATTGTTGCAAGAAACTGTTGCGAATAATCTGCAACGAAAACGTTGTTGCAGAAATCTGTTGCGAATACTCTGCAACAAAAACCCATTGCAAAAATTTGTTGCATAACGTTCCTGGAAAATGGCGCCAAGCTCCCGCCATAATTGCAACGCATCTTTTCACTTTCTGTTGCAAAAAATTCGTTGAAAAAAAAATCCGTTGCAAATAAAATTACCGTTGCAATTATGCAATGGAAATACGTCTGTTGCAATATTTCAGTTGCAAAATTGATATTTTCTTGTAGTGCGAAGTCAATATGTCTGATATCACCTGTAACGCCCCAAAATATACCCTAAAATTTATTGAATTAAATATTTAATTAAACAAAATTTGTTTTGATTAAAATAAATTATTGTTGGGCCTTGGGCCGAAATAAAATATATATATTGATGTCCAATAAACATAATTGGGTTAAATCTCATAGAGATAAATCCAACCTGTTGACTTATTGTGTGATCTTGATTGGGAACCTGAGTACAGACCTAACTTAAGAATAAATGAAGAAATTGTTTGTAATGTGAACTTTGAAATGATTTATTGAAATAAATCATGGAAATAAATAATATGAATTAAATGTGAGAACCTTTTTGAATAAAGGTCAATTAAACCAATTTTGACTCTGTCAAAGTCAAACACCAAAAATATGATGTCGGAAAAAGTATAACAAATAAATGTAAAAATTATATCGTTGGATAAAGTTTAACTGTCCGATCGCAACGGTGCAAACGGAATTCAATTCGGAGAAAGTTTGGCCAAAAAGTGTACCCGACTGGGACCAAAATTAGTCCCAATCAGGGACGGCGCCTCCTACTCCACTCAGCCGATCAAAGATACGTTCCTACGCAAATCCTACGCAGCATTGTTTGGTTTCTTCCTCCATTCCTTCCCTATATAAGACCACCTTCACTCCCTCAATTCTCCATCATTTCTCACAATTCTCATATCAATTCTGTTGCTGGGAGTGAGGAGAACGTAGTGGTGCTATCATATCGGTGAAAGGTCGCCGGAGCTAGCCACAAACCTCGCCGGAAGTTTCACCGGAAAATCGTCAAAACCTTCATTTAACTTCGAGGTAAGCCTGTTGATATATCTAATGACTAGAATGTTCATATAGGTCGTTTCTACGTTCATAAATAGTCGTTTGGTTGAGTTTTGTGTTTGACATGTTCGAAGAACCAAGAATCATAAACCTTGAATTTGATGTTAAAAATATGTTTTAATTATTCTAAAATGATATATGAACCTGGGAGAACCTTTCTATATAATTTAATTGAAGTTTGGTGATTAAAAATGATAAAACTCGAAACTGACCAGAGAAAGAAGATGATGAACAATAGCCGAAAATCGATTATTTACTTCTTAAGAATCGATTAGAATTATGTCCAGACGAGGATGTTCGAAGTCAGTATATAATCGATTATTTAAAATATAAAAATCGATTTAAAAAGTATTAATCGATTATTTCGAAACTAAAAATCGATTTTTAGAAATTAATTGATTATTTAAATTATAAAAGTCGATTTTTAACAATTAATTGATTATTTAAATTATAAAAATCGATTTTTAGCAATTAATTGATTATTTAAATTATAAAAATCGATTTTTAGAAATTAATGGATTAATTAAGATATAAAAATCAATTTTTAGCATTTAATTGATTATTTAAAATATAAAACTCAATTTTCCTCAAGTCCAGATTCTGTTCCAAAAATATTCTGAAAATATATGCTCTAAAATCCACCAATTGATTATGATCATTGGAAAAATGATTTACCATAATAAAAATGATGTTTTTAACAAATAAAAAATGTTATGTGATGCATGACGGTAAGTTAGGGTGTTAACACCCGAAGCTAGGCCGCTAATTGTTATTAAATATTATGTTGATTGATGATTATGGTAATGATTATTGATTGATGATTATGATGATTAAATCTTGATAAATGTTCTGATTAAAAATAGTAATTATGAATGATTAAATCATAATGAATATATTGATGATTGTGAAAATAATATGTATTGTTAAGGATATCTAGAAGACCTCTAAGATATACCCATATTAATGTTGATTTGAAAGGTATCTAAAAGAACTCTAAGATATACCTATATAAGTTAGGCCTTGCGGGTATGATGCCCGGTGGCTAGGGTTAAAACGTACGTACGGGATCCAGGAACCAAACTTGAGTACCTACTCGTTTGGGGGTACCACCCACCCTACAGTGAATACTACGCTGTTGGTTTTTGGTTGACCTTAAGTGAAGGTAAGTTTAAGATTTCCAAAACCCTTTTATCTTAAACTAGGCCTAGCTTAAGGATTATTAGGAGTACTCTATATACTGGAATATAGTTTAATTATTTAAACTAGAATTCATTTAAGGGTTGACAAATATTAAAGTGATTGGCCTTAGACTAAGAATAGTTTAAGGATATTGTTGAATGACAAATAATGAATATACATGTTGAATGATTGAACAATGAATGTTGAAAGTTGAATATTGATTATTGAATATCTGAACTGAACCTTATGTGCATGATATCAAATGGTAGATTATGAATTGAGATTCAATTTATGTGGATGTTCGACGCATTAGATATGCTTACTCAGCTTTACCGCTGAGCGTGTAGTGTGTTTTATTTGTTACACGCAGGTCAATAGAATGATGTGACGTGATCCTGGAGGCAGACGGAGGCGAGATTGTCGGAATGGATGTGATGGTTTTGAATTAAAGAATATAAATAAATTATGTTTGTGGTTATGATTTGTTAAGCTTCCGCAACATTGAAAACTCTGTACTGTTTGTGATATGAAAAATATTATTATGATAAATAAAAGTGTTTGAAAAGTTTTAAATTTTACGATTACCAAGTTAATACTTTAGTCCGAAAGGGGCTGCAGACCTGGACGGATTAGGGTGTTACATCACCTCTTAGGTGATGGATACTGGATGTGGTTCTCACATCTGTACTTCTATGCAGAACTTGCATGAATGTAGACAATTGACGGAGGGAGAGATACAACTAAAAGTCGGCAATGGCGCACTCATCTATGCATTGGCCGTCGGAACCTATAGTTTATCTCTACCTAGTGGTCTTATATTGCATTTGAATAATTGTCTGTTTGTACCTAGTATGAGCAGAAACATCATTTTTGTTCGCTGTAAAAGACAAAACTCTTTCTGTCTTTAGAAATGATATATTTTATGCAAGTGCAAAAATGACCAACGGTCTCTATGTCCTTGACATGGATACCGCAATATATAACGTAGATGTTAAGAGAAACAAACCTATCAGTTTGAATCTTGCTTACCTTTGGCATTGTCGTTTGGGCCACATTAACGAGAAACGCATATCTAAGTTACATCGTTCTGGTGTACTTGATCCATTTGACTTCCAGTCATATGTTGCATGTAAATCTTGTTTACTTGGTAAAATGACAAAGGCTCCATTCACCGGTCACGGTGAGAGGGCGAGTGACTTATTGGGCCTCATACACTCCGATGTCTGTGGTCCAATTAGCACTGTAGCTAGAGGTGGTTATTCTTACTTCGTTACATTTACTGATATGGATATGTGTATCTCATGAAACACAAATCGGAATGCTTTGACAAATTCAAAGAATTCAAGAACGAAGTAGAAAAACAATTAGGCAAAAGTATTAAGACCCTCCGCTCGGATCGAAGAAGTGAATACTTAAGCCTGGAGTTCGATGACTATCTGAAAGAGCATGGGATTTTATCCCAACTCACTCCTCCGGGGACACCTCAGTTAAATGGAGTGTCTGAGAGGAGAAATCGGACTTTGCTAGACATGGTCCGGAGCATGATTAGTTTGACAACATTGCCAGAATCATTTTGGGGATATGCATTGAAAACAGCAGCACACACACTCAACAGAGTTCCATCTAAAGCTGTCGAGACCACACCATACGAACTATGGCGTGGGAGAAAACCGAGTTTCTCGTACTTTAAGATATGGGGCTGTGAAGCTTATGTAAAATGTCTCATGACGTCTAGTAAGTTGGAGCCTAAATCTGATAAAGTAATTTTTGTGGGATACCCCAAGGAAACTAGAGGGTATGAGTTCTATCATCCATCCGATAACAAAATTTTTGTTGCTCGGAATGGAACCTTCCTTGAGAAGGAGTTTCTTTCTGCTATCACTAGTGGGAGAAAGGTAGACCTCGAAGAAATTCGAGAACCACAAGAAGAAGTCCCGATAGTGTTGGAACATGAGCAAAGAGATCAAGCAATTGAACCTCAAACTGCTCAAGATATACCACGTAGGTCAGACCAGATACGTAATCCTCCGGTTAGATATGGATTTCTCATGTCTGATGAAGGTGACGTCTTGTTGGTAGATCAAGGCGAACCAGAGACCTATCTCGAAGCAATTACATGCCCCGAATCTGATCTATGGCTCGAAGCCATGAAATCTGAAATGGAGTCTATGTACACAAACCAAGTCTGGACCTTGGTTGATGCGCCCGAAGGGGTAAATCCCATTGGATGCAAGTGGGTCTTCAAAAAGCAGACAGACGTAGACGGGAAGGTTCATACCTCCAAAGCTCGATTGGTAGCAAAAGGTTATAGGCAAATCCACGGAATTGACTATGATGAAACCTTTTCTCCGGTTGTTATGTTGAAATCCATTCGGATAATGCTTGCGATTGCAGCCTATTACGATTAAGAAATTTGGCAGATGGACGTCAAGACGGCTTTCCTTAACGGGAACCTCAAAGAGGATGTCTTCATGACACAACCTGACGGTTTTCAAATTGCTGGTCAATCTGCCAAAGTTTGTAAACTGCAACGTTCAATCTACGGATTGAAACAAACATCTTGGAGTTGGTACATACGTTTCGATGAAACCATTTCCAGTTTTAGTTTCGAAAAGAACTCTGACAAATCTTGTGTATACAAGAAGGTCAGTGGGAGTGTAATAGTATTCCTAATCTTATCTGTCGATGACATATTGTTAATGGGTAACGATATTCCCGCGCTCTCACTTCTGTAAAGACGTGGTTGAGCGAGAACTTCTCCATGAAAGACTTAGGGGATGCTAGTTATGTCCTTGGCATTAGAATCTACCGAGATAGATCAAGAAAGTTAATAGGTCTGAATCAAATTACATATATAGATAAAATCCTTGATCGATTTAGCATGTCTAACTCAAAGAAAGGATCTTTACCTATGACACCTGGCACGGTTCTTTCCAAGAGCCAGAGTCCTTCTACTCCTGAGCAGAAGGAACTCACGATGAAGGTTCCATACGCTTCTACGATTGGATCCATCATGTACGCCATGATATGTACTAGACCTGATGTCTCATTCGCTTTAAGCGTGACCAGCAGATACCAGGGAAGTCCAGGAGAAGCACACTGGACAGCGGTCAAGAACATCCTCAAGTATCTTCACAATACTAAGGATGCATTCCTGGTATACGGTGGTGAGGAAGAGCTAAAGGTGGTCGGTTTCACTGATGCTAGTTTCCAAACCGACAGAGACGATTCAAAATCACAAGCAGGATATTTCTTTTGCCTGAATGGCGGAGCTTTTAGCTGGAAGAGCTTCAAGGAGGATACAACCGCCGATTCGACTACAGAGGCTGAGTACATAGCTGCCGCCGAGGAAGCTAAAGAAGCTGTTTGGATCAAGAAGTTCATTACTGAACTTGGAGTGGTTCCTAGTATTAATGACCCTATCTCGTTGTTTTGCGACAACACTGGGGCCATTGCACAGGCAAAGGAACCGCGATCTCACCAGAAAACCAAACACATTGTACGACGCTATCACATCATACGAGAAATCGTAGATAAAGGAGATGTGATGATTTACAAAGTAGATACTGACGACAATATAGCCGATCCCTTGACCAAGCCTTTAGGAAAGCTAAAGCATGAGGGTCACACTACGTCCATGGGCATTCGACCGATGTCAGATTGGCCATAGTGCAAGTGGGAGATTGTTGGAGTTGTGCCCTGATGGCCAACTGTTCATCGTTATCCTATCATGTATAGGCAGATATAATATGTTTACACATCTCATGCTAATGTAAACAAATATTATATTCCTAGATTTATATTTAAAAGATGTTTATCAGATAGTGTTATTCTGCTCATGAGACTAACATGTTGAAATAAATATTTATCTAAATGTCCATAGTCGAGTATTAACGAGAGTGGGATATCGTTAGTGCATGTGAGACTAGTGTGTGTTGGATGTTTGACTTAGTCTCATAGTCAATGACGGTGTGTTCGCATCCGCACATGGGCAGATATTATCTAGAGATAATAGGATGCCGGACGGACCCATCCTAAAGATGTTGCTTGAACTTGTAATACCCCGTATCAAAATGGGAATGGAAGGGCTCAAAAGGTTACGGCTAGGGTGGGGGCCGGGGTGTTACAGAACTTTTAGTTCATGCTGTAAGCATCTTTAGCGCGACCACGGGTGTAACTATCCTTTGACTTGAAGTATTACGTTTTCTGCATATGTGAACCCGCATGCTTTAATGCATTGTCCTAAGCCATATGAAATAAGGATGGTATACAGGCTTTGTTTTGGGTATGCCGCAGCGCGTATTCAGAAACGTAGATTACGTACATAGGATTTGTCACTACTCTTTTTAAAGAGATTAATGTCTTATGGGCCCACTGATAAGTTATGACTTAGGAAATTGCATGGCCATGCTGAGATGCTTTTATGACGTCTGTTCCTATTAGTCAGATTTGATAAATTAGTGAATGACTTAATGGATACAAGTTGGATTTTATTAATCCCTTGCATTAAGTTTAGACATTGAGACAAAGGGATACAGTTACACGGAGTCTGAGTCGTGGAAAGGTTTTGACAGTGCAAACGTCTTAACTTATAATCTGGGGCGCAATAATGTGTTGCTAGATACCGCTTATTGCTTATAGTATTGGTGCAGAGCCAATACTGTGGCCAGTTTTATAAGTGCCTATACGGGTCACACACTTTGAACAATTTAAGGAGTAGGATTAAACAATGGGATAATAAGTAATTTGTATATTTGTAAAATAGTAAAATAAAATATTTTGGAATATAATATTATATATAAAAATATTCATTATATATATGTGCCGATTATATATATATATATATATATTATATTTTGAATATTTTATTTTGGTTTGTCATTTTAATTATGAAAATAATTATCTTGACATAAACTATTTAAAGTATTTTTGTATACTTGTTTAAAAATGATATGGGTATTTTATTTGATTTAAAATTAATTTTTATATTAATTTTTGGTGTCAAATAAAATACACTTTGAACATTTAAGTGGAGAAGAATTTTGAAAATCCTTCTCACTTTGTCAAATAAATCTTTCGGCCATATGGATTTCAAGGTTGACAAATTGGTATTAACTTACTTGATTGATAAATTAGTGATTTGTAATTGATTTGTTAATTTGTCATTTTATGCATAATTAAATTCCATTATTATACCCACTTTCTCACTTGAATAAGATAGACCACATTCATCAATTTGGTCAAAGGGAATTTTCGGCCACTTCATTTTAGTGAGAGAAAATTTATTTTGTGTTCCATTAATATCATTTTGTGTATAGAAAATATTTATAATATTTTCTAAATATTATTAGAAATATTTTCTATAGAAATATACAAGATTATTATTATCCCAAATTTTAATCTTTATATTTTATACTACTATAATCTTTACTAGCATAAAGATTGTGGTAGACTCCGGCATTGTTCGTGTGTCAAAGTTGGAGACCGGACGCTTGAACGGTTACGTTTGCACTTTCAACGCTCTTCCTACGACTTCTTCGTTTTTACCGCTTACGGAGAAAGGTATAAATTTCTTACTCACTATAAGTTTTAGTACGTGATTCTAGGCAAGATAATCATGTTAGGATGTTAAAATTTTTATATCCCGCTGCCTATCCTTGCATGGTTACCTTTCTTTGCCAATCTTCTGGAGAAGAAAACACAATTCATAAATTCGAAAAATGGCTCCATCATGGGTTTCACTCAACATACTTCATCTGGCGCGCCATGACGATGTTGTCAAATTAAGACTCTTAAGTCATTACGATCTTAAGCCAAGAAAGATTAGTGAGAACACAGTTTATATATGCCCATGAAGCTATATTCCAAGATGACGAGGTTTAATTTGCAAAACACTGTTTTATCACATTATTAATATTGTTCTCTCACTCTCTGTTTCACATTCTGTTTTTTTTCACATTCTTTTCAGCCAAGACTCCTTTTAAATTTTCCTATGTGACACTAGGGAAATCGTATACACGTTTTTTTGTGAAAAGCCATTGATTTCACGCTTTAAGTCGCTGCTGAAGGAGGGGTCAAATTCATAGCATACAGAATATGTGTCTCAAAAAATACTCAATGGTTGACGAACCATAAGTACAAACTTGCATTGGTTAAGGATACCATTGTAAGTGTTGTGGAAGTTGACTCTTTTCCTGAAGCTGTCTACAAATTTGAAGATTTCACAGAGCTAAACAATGCAGTCGATATCCAAAACTGTGTCATGTTTGGTAAGTAAGGACTTTTAATACTTATAAGTTCCATTTCTTTCATAAAGTTACTCCGTTAATGCTAATTATTTTATTACTACGTTTTAGATGTAATTGGCTTATTATCCCTTGATTTACCACCAACCCAAAGAATAGGAAAGAGCGGGGCAGAAATTAAATTCATGGATGTTGGCTTGGAGGATTTGGAGTACACAGATCTGCTCATGTGGCCCTTGCAACAAATCTGGATTTGTTTTGAGGTTAGACAAGATATTTTATTAATATTAGTAAATAATAATGAAACCTAAGTACAATTTTGATTCTTAAATACACTATTTGCATAGGTATCGACTGAAAGTGCAAGCATTGGATGATACCGCCAATTTGCCCTTGATTCTGTGAGATAATCACTACGTGTTGCTATTTGGGAAGCAGGCAGAGGCTTTCTTGAATGAAACTGTAAGGCACATTAAAATAAAATTACTTAAAGACTAATGATGTTTTGTTGTTTTTATTTATACTCAGATTTTACCTTTAAAAAAAATACTCAGATTCTAGGTTTTGTTTTTGTAGGGAGATGATCTTGAACTCCCATTACAGTTTAATGATGTGAAAAACAAACCACTTTTGTTTGAACTAGAAGTCAAGAAAACAGGAACAAACTCTTTTGAACAAGCTTTTTCTGTCCATCAGATTATAAAGGATGACAAAGTATTGGAACGCTTTATAGTGGGTAGCTCTAGCACCCAGGTATTTGATATATTTTATACCAAAGTATTGGAAGCTTTTTCTTTCCATTAGCCCTTTTTATTTGTCCACCAAAGATCTTCTCATTATCTTTTTAACAATTAAAATACCACAACTACCCTCACTTACTTTATTTATTACACCTTACTAATACACTCCACCTATTTTCATTAAGGGTATTATGGTAAACTTTCACCTTTTTTCAACTCTCCTTAAAAACTACAAAAAGTCAAAACGAGAAGATCTTAGAAGGACGGAGGGAGTATGGTTTATGGGTTATAAAATAAAATATACGCTTCCCATCTCAAATTAGAATTTTTTATAATGTACTTTTGAAAACAAAAGATTTTTTGGAGAATGTTACCAAAAAATGAAAAATAAAATATTATGTACAAAGTAAAAAGTAATAATAGTTAAAAAAGGTACTGAAAAGAAATAAAAATATAAAAAATATTCGTTTTCTTTAACTTCATATTTTATTTCATCTTTCTGTTCTTCATTTTTTAAAGTCCTTAAAAATTATTTTACTTTTAAACAACAAATAAGTTAGAATTTTTAATTAGAGATAGAGTGAGTATATGTTATCCCATTTTTATTTTATTTATTTTACTTTTACTTATAATGAAAAAGTGTATTTTATTTCATTTTTGTAACATTTTCTAAAAAAAATTATATTTTTGAAAATTAAATAAATAAAAAATTTTAATTTTAGAAAGAGGGCGTATATTTTATTTTATTTATTTTTATGACAAAAAATGTAAAGAAAAGAGTGAAATTTGAATATAGAGAAAAACCAAGGGCAGAAATGTCATTTCATGTGTAAAATAGGCAAGAGGGGGTGTTTGTGCACTATTTAAAAACGACAAGGGTTTTACAAATGACTTTTGAAAGTAGAGGGGGTTTTGGCGCTCCTTTTGTAAACCACGGGGGGCACCTATGCTATTTTCCCTATGTTTTATGTAATAGCAAAACAATGATCAATACTTGCTTTTTAACAGGGTTCTGTGAGAAGTAAAGCTCCCAAAACCAAGGTAGATACAACTTAGTTGGCTGCATGTGTGGACAATTCTAAAGAAGACCCCGGTACCACACTTGATAAGGATGGAACTACATCTACTATATCTACAAATATCAAACGAGACCTTAAAAAGGAACTTGATGATGTGGGGATGCAGTTAACCAAGAACCCTAAAGTGAGTGTCAATATTGAGAAACTTTGAAGTGAAGATGGATATGTTTACATCCTTATCAGTGTTTTGTTTTAATATTAAGAAGTGTGCCCTGCACACATTTCCCTTATTCCAGACTCATTTTCTTACTAAATACTCATTTTAATTTATTAGTGAAATATTTTAAGCAAGATGACTGCTTTCATGTGAATATGTCCCTATAATGAAAGATGATCACAGTAAATATATGTTACTGTTTCATTAAACTGTTAAGGATCATACTACTTTCATTAAACTGTTAAGGACCTTACTACCTTCAATACATTGTTAAATGAAGAGAACAAAAAATTTAACATTTTCATTCGGAATTTCTGTTTAAATTGCAGATTACAACAGACTAAGGCATTTCTTTTTAAAATTGCGTTTTTTTTTTGCACCCAAAAAAAAACTGCACGTGTAAAATGAAGAGTTCAAAGTCAAATAAATACCTCTCACAGAAACTTAAGTTTAGTGGATTCTCTCCAATAAAAGATTGATTTTCACTTCTCAATATATGGTACTTTATTTAACCACCTAGAAAAGAGAAACTATAACCTTCCTGCTACACCAGAAACAAAACAAATGTCAGATCTTTAGAGCCAAGAGCTCTATGCCCTTCTAGATGCAAAACCAGAGCCGAGAAGCACAAAGAGAATGCAATTTTTTAAAATTATTTGTTATTTAAGCTTAATTTATATATTAAAATCTTAAATTTTAATATGCGCCAAACCTCATATAAATCCAATTGATATGAAGTGTAAAGATATGATCTTTCAATAAAAGAACTAAAATTAAAATTTTCATTTCTTACCTTTGAAAGACAATTCAGATCGAGCTCAGATCTTTACATTTTTCTGCGATTCAACATGGCATGCGCTAATCTGTATTTAATGCATCGATTTCTAGCATGCGTGTCAACAAACTGCGGGTGAACACCGGCGGAGAAGATCACCGATGGCTAATCACTTTCTCGCCATTTCTCTCTCGGTCTGAACTCTGAAAATTCACAATGAAATGTAGTCTCTCTGCTCTCATATTCACTTTGTAATCATAAAAATAAAAGAGTAAGGGGCTGTTTGTTTCATCCTCTTCTTAATGGTTCAGATGTCTGAATAGTTCAGCATTTTCAGACTGTTTGTTTCAGCCTCTTAATGGTTCAGATGTCTGAATGGTTAAGAGATTTGCCTCTGAATGGTTTAGTATTATACAGAGTCTGAATGGTTAAAACCTCTTATCTGAATTGATCAGACATTTGCTTCTGAATAGTTAAGCAATATACTAGCTCTTAATGGTTCAGACCTCTTACTGGTTCAGCACTTAATGGTTCAGACCTCTTACTAGTTCAGCACTTACCCATTCAGAAGTTGCCAAACAGCCCCTAAGTCTAAAATGACACTAGTGCTACTGGTGTCATTTGCTTACACCAGTTTGTTTGGGGTACTGATAGATATCAGATCTGATGGACCCGATTCCAGGCCCAATAAAGGCCCACAATAGCACGAAATGGACAAGGCCAAGTGCCAGTAGCGGATTAAGCCCACTAAGACGCATGTGGCGAATTAAGAAGGACGGCCCAATCATGGGCTAGATTAAGATGACCCAGTCCAAGGAAGGAATGGGACACGTGGCCCGCACCACCAGATTGTGGACGAGATGGGAAGAGAATGAGACCGGAAAAGAGGGAATCACAACTCCATGATCTCCATAATCCCTCCCATTATGTATAATTTTAATTACGATATTAGAAGTACTATAAAAGGGGAAAGAACCCGCCATTGTAAAGGGAGACAACTGAAACAATTCTACACATAATCAAAGAACATTATTACGAGATTATATCTTTCTAATTCATATTACGTTCTTGGTCCGCTATCTGATCGGGTTAATCCCATCATTGGTGCTTTCGTTGAGAGCTAACTGTGAGTTAAGGCTGTGAGATTATGGCCGGACGAAGGACGAGACGTAACACCGCTACTTCTGCCCAATCGACGGTGAGGAGTGACCACCCTGAGCAGGGTGTGATCGTTCCTGTCAATGGGTTGGAAACGACGTTGAATAATGTGGCTAACATGATGGCCAACATTATGGAACGGCTAGACAGGGCTCTCCCTGGTCCATCAAGTACCCAGGATGTCCCTGCAAGGCAACCCCGCCAGGTCCTGCGTACGGCCAGTTCTCCCATCAGGAGCTACATGATCCGGAGGAGGTCGAGAGGGAAAGGCAGGCTATAGCTAGGCGCCGGGCGGAGGAATTTGCCCGGAATAGTAGGGCAAATGGAGATCGAGCCAGGGCTGTGAGTCAAGTCGTTGGCAACGGAAACGAAAACCCACGGGGAACCGTTTTTGAAAGGATATCTCACCAGAGGGCTCACGTCAGTGAGAGGCTGGGGAAGAATCCGGACAAAGCACCCCAGGGTTGGGTACGACCCTAGGCCAGTCAGGTGGCATCCTCTAATCGCAAACCGCGGCAGCAAATCGGTCGCGGTGGGAGCCAAGCGCCGATGCAGTCATTGGTGGTCCTAGACGAAGACGAAGTTCAGAGCCAGGTCAGGGTCCCAGCACCGCAGTGTCTGGGGCCGCAAGTGCCAGAAGCCGGCGAATTCTAGGATCTGAGGCAATAGATCCAGGAGATGCAGAGGAAGATAAACAGGGGACGAGTATTCACTACCCGAACGAATATTCCCCTAGCCCTGGAGATCTTTGCGGAACCCTATCCGCATGGATTCAAGATGTCGTTCGTTAAGCGTTATGATGGGGAGTCGGATCCCCAAGAACACATAAACAGCTACGTCCAGGTGATGATTGCCGTTGATGCCAGCGACGCATTGATGTGTCGATGCTTCTTGCAGACGGTGGACAGCAAGGTTGCAGACTGGGTTATTCACATTCCTGCCAGATCGATCCGGACATGGGATGAATTGGGGTTGCAGTTCCTAGAACATTTTGCAGGGAATTGCCGTCCCAAGAAGCACTTCACTTATTTGGCTTCAGTGCGGCAGAAGCATGGAGAATCCTTGAAGAATTTCTTAATCTGATGGAGGAAAGAGTCCAGGGAGGTTGAAGGAACCGATGATAAATCCAGATTGGCCATGTTCACGGCAGCATTGCAAGATGGTCTCCTTCATACTGATCTCACAACTCATCCCTCGGATACCTTTGAAGAAGCAATGGTCCGGGCCGGAAGGTATGTGACCCTGGAGGAAAGGAAGGAGGAGAAGAAAGAGAAGACTCCTAAAGAAGAGGAGAAGGCGGGAGGTAAGAAGCCTTTCAAGAACAAGAAGCAAGGTTTCCCGGATGGCCCAAAGGGAACAAACCCTGGGACCTCGGAGAAGCACAAATCTGCCAATCCAGTCTTTACATTGCCGGTGGCTGAGGTCATGGCCCATGCTGCACAGAAGGGACTCATGACTTATCCAACCTATTCCCAGAAGGTCTGTAATGTGGAGGACACTGGAAAATGGTGTGCTTACCACCACAAGAATGATCACAACACAGAGGATTGCTATACTCTGAAGAACGAAATGGCGAGGCTAATCCGCCGGGGTCATCTGAAGAAGTTTGTACAAGATGGTAACGCGGGAGATTCCGGGAACGCTCAGAATGGGAAGCGGAGAGATAAGGAGGTGGCCCAGGCTGAGGCCCGGGAAAAACGCCACATCGGGCTGGAGGATGAAGAGGAGGATTCTGAGCCCGCACCACACCGCCAGTAGAGACATCACGGGTGTAACTTCATCATTGGAGGGAATACTGGCGGAGACTCAGCCACGAGCCGGAAGAAGTGGGCCAACGCGGCGATGGTCAATAAGGTGTTGGCCCCAGAAGGTAAGAAGCTGAAAACTGAGCCAATTGTATTTTCCAATGCTGATTTGCCAGAAACAGGGGTCCCCCATAGGGACGCCCTGGTGATCACGAATGATATAATGGACTTACTGATCCACAAAACTCTCAAGGATACGGGAAGTTCCGTTAATATCATGTATATGGATACTTACAAGGCTCTTTGTTTGACAAGAGATGAGTTATCACCCATTAAGACTCCGCTGACCGGGTTCACAGGCGACTCTATCGAACCGGAGGGGGTAATAACTCTCCCGGTCAAAATAGGGGATACTAAGGCCACCCGGAAGTTGGATATGGACTTCATTGTAGTGGGGATAATCTCCAATACCAACATCATCCTAGGCAGACCCGGATTAGAAGATTTGGAGTGTGTCATCTCACCTCGTCACCTATGCATAAAGTTCCCAACCCCCCATGGAGTTGGAATTGCCAGGAGAGAGTGTCCCGGGCGTGGTATTTGAAGGCAACTAAACAGCCTATCAAGTACGACACCCAAGTGGGGGAAGTAACCGCACAACTCCTAAGAGCTGAGGAGAGACGTCCCAGAGTAGAAGTTGCAGGCGACATTGAGGAGGTTGAGCTGGAGCCGGGCACGTCGGGAAGGTTGGTCAAAATTGGAAAGGGCCTGGGGGCTGTCCATCGCCTTAATGTACTGCAGGATGCTAAACCGGTGAAGCAGAAGCGGAGGCATTTATCGCAGGAAAGGAGAGATTTCGTGAAGAAGGAGGTAGCAACCTTGCAGAGCATTGGACATATCCGGGAGGTGCACTACCCGGATTGGTTGGCGAATGTAGTTTTGGCGCCTAAGCCTCCTTCGTGGAGAATGTGCATCGACTACACGGATTTGAACAAGGCATGCCCAATGGATCCGTTCCCGCTCCCCAACATTGACCAGATGGTGGATGAGACTGCCGGATCAGAGTTAATGAGCTTCATGGACGCTTTCAGTGGCTACCATCAGATTCGGATGCACTCGGCCGATGTTGAGAAGACCAGTTTTATGACCCTGGAGGGGCTATACTGTTACTTGGTGATGGCATTTGGATTGAGAAACTCCGGCGCAACATACACCCGGATGGTTTCATAGGTGTTTAGAGCCATCTTAGGGCGAACCATGGAAGCATATGTTGATGACATGATTGTCAAGTCCAAAGAGGCCCGAGACCATGTCCGGGACCTTGAGGAGGTCTTTGAAATCATGATGAAGGTAAATTTGAGATTGAATCCAAAGAAATGCACTTTTGCTATTCAGGGTAGAAAATTCCTCGGGCACATGGTTAGCCGGAGAGGGATTGAAGCAAACCCGGAAAAGGTTAGGGCCATCATGGAGATGGAACCACCGAAGACGGCAAAGGAAGTCCAGCGGCTGACAGGGAGATTGGCGGCTTTGAATTGTTTCCTTTCAAAGCTGGCAGAGAAGGCGCACCCATTCTTTACCGTAATCAAGAAGAGGGCGACCTTCGAATGGACGTAAGAATGTCAAGAAGCATTTGAACAATTGAAAAGATATTTGGCAAGTCCTCCGGTTTTATCCAAGCCGGAACCTGGAGATGTCCTGATTCTATACTTAGCAATTGCAAATTGTGCTATGTAATTGTGAGGGAAGAGAATGGGGCCCAACATCCAGTCTACTACGTCAGCAAGACCTTGAGAGACGCGGAGTTAAGGTATTCCCGTCCGGAAAAAGCCATGCTAGCGGTTTTCTGGACGGCGAAGAGATTAACTTCGTACTTTCAGGCTCACCGGATTGTGGTGCTCACCAATGAGCCTTTGGCGTCACTTACCCGGAGTCCAGCGGCATCAGCCTGGATGACCAAGTGGGCGGTCTTCATCAGTCAGTACAGTGTGGAGTTCAGGCCGCGTCCATCAATCAAAGGGCAGGCACTCACCGACTTTCTGGTTGAGTGTACTGCCAGGGAGATGACAAGAGCACAGGCCGAAACCCGGGTAGAAGACGACTGGTGGGTGATGAGCATCGATGGATCTCCTGGGTCTCGATCCTGCGAAGCAGGTATTGTTTTGGTTACTCCGGAAAATTTCCGGATATATTACGCTATCAGATTTCAGTTCCACGTATCCAACAATGAAGCTGAATATGAGGCCCTAATCAACGGATTGAAGATTCTTGGCAAGTTGGGAGTGTCCAAGGTTCAAGTATACAGCGACTCCCGATTGGTGGTAGGACAGATCACTGGGGAGTTTGAAGCAAAGGAAGAAAGGATGAAGAGGTATCGAGACTTGTCCTTGGAAATGTTGGGAAGGTTCGAGTTTAAGCTTGAACACATACCCCGGGCGCAAAACGCGGAAGCTAATGTTTTGTCCAAGCTCAGCGCAGAATCGCTAGAATATATAAGCAAATTAGCAACGGTCGAGGAACTGGCAACCCCGAGTCTTAATAGGGATGAATTGCTCTGGGTGTTAGCTGATCCCCCAGAGTGGTTGGATAGGCTGGCCAGATACATTGAGGACGGTGTAGCCCTGGAGGACCCACAGGAAGCTCGTTTGCTGCGAATGAGGGCACCCACCTACAAGGTGCAAGATGGAATCCTCTATAAGCGATCTTACAATGGTGTTTTACTCCGTTGCCTTAGGGCAGCAGAGGCGAAGGCACTAATGGAAGAGATACACGAAGGAGTATGTGCTGCACATCAGGGTCCATACTCTATCTCCAGAAGGGCGATTATCTAGGGATATTTCTGGCTAACAATGAGGAAGGATTGCGAGGAGTATGTGCGCAAGTGCCCAACCTGTCTACAATTTCAGAATATGCCCGGGAGGCCAGCCACAAACTACACGCCCATCAGCTCTGTGATTCTCTTCTCAAGGTGGGGGATTGATATTGTGGGTGCCCTGCCAAAAGGGGTTGGACAGGCAAGATGGATTGTGGTGGCCATAGACTATTTCACCAAGTGGGTGGAGGCTGAGCCACTTGCTGGGATAACTGGGAGGCATATGATCGACTTCGTGGGAACCAATATACTTTGTAGGTTCTGTTGTATTTAGGTGCCCTAGCGGCAATCAAATACCTATGTAACTGTACACTTTATCATGAATGAAAGGCCTTGAAGTATATTTTATATCTCGTGTAGCATAACATAGCTTCAGTAGCGCTTCAGTAACATAGATGAGGACTACGATGTTCTGATTATGAGACTGTTACTTCTTGACGAAGGCTATGTCTAGAATATCCCTAGTCGCACTTTGTGATATCTTAATCTGTACGTAGGTGCATATTATATCGATAATATGTGACTGGATTGACCCATCTTGAGAATACTGCATGGATCTACAGTAATGTGGTTATCAGTATTCTCAAATCGACCTTGCTATAACTATCCTTAGACTTGAAGTTATTACATTCTATGATATGTGGGGCCGTATGCTTTGATTCATAACTAATACTATCTGAAATACTGGAAGACGTACAGTTATGCGTTGGGTATGCCGCTAAGCATATTTAGAGATGTGAATAACAGATACTGTCCCTTCTACTGTATAGAAGTATAATGTCAATGGGCCCACTGAATAGTAGGACTTGGGAAAGTGCATGGCCATGCCCAGATATGTCGCTATCTAGAGACTGATAAATATCTGATCCCTACCAGGCTACTTGAGATTCAGTAACAGCTGATTTAACTATACAAGGATACACATCTCATGCCTTGTGTTAAATCATGACATTTAGGACAGAAGGATAATAGTTATAGAACATCTTGTGTCGTAGAAGGTATTGATGAGATGAACGTCTTTTTCATAATATGGGGGTAATAATGTGTTGCTAGATACCGCTTATTATCTATGGTATTAATTTTATTAATATCATTGCCAGTGTTATGGATACCTAAAGGGTCACACACTTAGGACTTGTAAGGGAGTAGTATACTACACTAGTGGGAGTAATATTAAATATATAGTTGTGATAATTTTATACATATATATGTATTTCGAAAATACATATGTATTTTAAAATTATATTTTGTTTGTGTCATTTTAATTATATGATAATTATATTTTGACAAAACA